AATGTGATTGGCCCGCCCCCTTGTGTGACGTCACGACCGGGCGTCGTCCCATTGGCCGGAGGGCCGTTGGGGGAGGGGCGAGGCGCGCGCTGATTGGCCAGTCTGCGTGGCTGGTGGAGTCTAGTCAATCGATAACACATCCCGAGTCGGAGCCAAATTAAAGGTAAATAATAGACGGCTTTCACAGTGAACGGACGTGTATAGAGCGCGCTCTGTTGTGCTATTCATGTGACCCGAGTTACTCCAGCGACAATACGGTGAATAGTGTAGAGTGAAGACAACAAGTGGTACTGTACTCGCTAACTACCCTTGCAGGCCAGTTGCGACCACTAACAACTCCGCGCTGGCTCTAACAACCACGTGTGAATTCAGTGCTGACGCGGCCTCTGCCACCAAGGAAGCCACCATTGCCGGCGTCACGTCGTACAGTGCCCTGGCGTCGGGCGCTGACCAGCTGACGGCGGTGGAGGGAGCCAGGAGCGTGTGGGAACGCCGGTGGCGTAGCAGCGGCAGACACGAGTCCTTGAGCTACAAGGAACCGCGGGAAGCCGCCACCCTGGATTACTACACCAGCGCGGCGCTCAAGCCCTCCAGCATGCTGACCCTCGACCCGCCAGACCTCAAGGGCGGCAGCTTACACTCGGCGCATCTCCCGCCCCACACCACCCACTCCCACTCCGTGCCCCACGGACACCACAACTCCCACTCCCACACCTACTCCCTCTCTCACCACTCCTCTCTCACCTCCCTCAACTCCTCTCTGACCTCCTCCCTCTCCAGCCCCTCCCTGGCCTCCGTCGGCACGCTGAGCGCCCACTCCCCGCCCCAGACACACGTCCCCACACCCACCAACAACAACAACAACAACAATAACACCAGCAACAGCAATAGCAACAGCACCAGCAACAGCAGCAACAGCAAGAGCAGTGCGTCGTCGTCCAGCGCTGCGGCCGAGCGGGTCAAGCGCCCCATGAACGCCTTCATGGTATGGTCCAGAGGCCAGAGGCGCAAAATGGCGCAGGAAAACCCCAAAATGCACAATTCGGAGATCTCCAAACGCCTCGGGGCCGAGTGGAAGCTGCTCTCCGAGACGGAAAAGAGACCGTTCATCGACGAGGCCAAGAGACTGAGGGCGGTCCACATGAAAGAGCACCCTGACTACAAGTACAGGTACAGCCCGAACCTTAGCCATGAAACCCCATCAGTGGCAAGCTTAAGCAGCCGACTCACAGGCCCAAACAACCCTCCTCACCCGCCCCCCCTTTTCTCACAATTGTCCTCCTACCACTAATAAGTGATGATAATTGGCGTCATTCTTAAAGATCTTTCCTGCGGACTTCGCGGTTTTTTCATTTGCGTGCAGCAAAGTTCTGTGTCATTTTCATTCTCTTGCTTTTCCAGTAATTCGTCAGTTATTTTTATGTTTTTTTGGCCGTGTTGCTAACGCAAAAACATCATTTTTATTGGTTGGTGCGGAGGAAGTTGTAATTATCACTTTAAAAAACCAATTACTTTAAAAAAAAAAGTTGTGATAGTAGTTCAGTCCCCCCTCAAACAAATCACCTTTTTTTAGACCTTTGCTTTGACAAGGGGAAACAAACCAAAATAATAACAATAAACATTAGCCCACGATTCAAATCAAAGATAGTTGTATATATATACATTTTTTGTGTAGTTTTTTTTTTTTGGTACTATATATATATTTATATACATATTGGAGGGTCCCATTGGAGACCTGTCCATCCATTCCATCCTCTCAACTGCAGGAAGTGTGAGATTAAACGCCATAGCTCCCACAGAAGGGGTCATTCACGGTTACCGTTGGGCTTTTTCGTTACCAATGTTGTGTGTGGTGTGAGTGTGAGTGTGAGTGTGTGTGTGAGTGTGAGTGTGTGGCTTGAATACTTTGTTTTTTTTAAATCTTTTGTTATCTTCTTCTTTTTCTTCTTCCTGTGTCTTCTGGTGTGTGTATATATATATATTTTTTACGTTAAAACGCGTAGCGTAATTCTGTGATGGTAACTTTGCTGTTGTTACTGTGATGGAGCGCTGTGACGGTGATGGGGCGCTGTGGCGGTGCTGTTACTGTGATGGAGCGCTGTGACGGTGATGGGGCGCTGTTACAGTGATGGAGCGCTGTGACGGTGATGGGGCGCTGTGACGGTGATGGGGCGCTGTGGCGGTGATGGGGCGCTGTGGCGGTGCTGTTACTGTGATGGAGCACTGTGACGGTGTTGTTACTGTGATGGAGCGCTGTGACGGTGATGGGGCGCTGTGGCGGTGCTGTTACTGTGATGGAGCGCTGTGACGGTGTTGTTACTGTGATGGAGCGCTGTGACGGTGCTGTTACTGTGATGGAGCGCTGTGACGGTGCTGTTACTGTGATGGAGCGCTGTGACGGTGCTGTTACTGTGATGGAGCGCTGTGACGGTGATGTTACTGTGATGAGCGCTGTGACGGTGCTGTTACTGTGATGGGGTGCTGTTACTGTGATGGAGCT